TTCAATTATGTCACTTAGCTTTCAAAGTGAATATTCCAACATGTGTACATTTCTCACCGGTCCAGTTGTTTGTTTTTTTTTTTTTTTGAGGTTTAAAACCATCCTTTTTTAAGACAAAACTTTGTGTGTGTGTATGAGGTTTTTGCTATAGGGCACATACGCTCACCAGACAGACAGAGAGAGACAGAAAGTGAGTAATTACCCCCAGAGGTGATGACCACGCCACAATCGCTACACACACGTGCCCAATGTGAGTTTTAAGCCACCGGGTCTGGGATGCGAACTGCGGACGACTAGGTGGGAGTCCAGCGACATAGCCACTATGCTAACTGCTGGACCCAAGACAAAATATTTTAATGATGCAATTTAAGTAGTGAGGTTTAAGATATATCTGTAGTGAAGCCAGCAGGTGGCATGGAGGTTAAGGTGCTGGACTCCCACATGGTCAACTGTGGTTTTAATTCTGGACTCGGTGGCTAGAAACTCATGTCAGGTGCATGTGCGCAGATGCCCAGTATCCTGCGGGGAGAACAGAGGAGAGGTGATTGCAGTGTGGCCATTCACCTTGGGATGTGATTTCTCACTTTGTCTCTCTGTCTCTCTGATATGTACATGTGCTCTACAGAAAAGCAAAACAAAACAAAACAAAACTCTTAAAAAAAGATATATCTTGAGTATGATGAAGCTCATGTAAAGAAACCTGCTGTGATGCCAGTCATATAAAAGTACAGCACATTTTATTATGTATGGTACATAATGCTTGATAATGATAATAAATGACATTAACACCAGTTTATGTATTTACTATAAGAAGGGACTTCAAACAGTTTATCAAATATGTTATTAAAATATGAATTTTTTATATGGGAGTCTGGCGACATAGTCATTATGCTAACTACTGGTCCCTTTTCCAATATAGTTATAAAGACTAATAATCATTACCAAAAACTGTCTTCTACTAACTCATGAAAAACCACAGCATGTCTGTAAGGGAGTTGTGATGCTGTATCTTCTTTGAAAGCAGTGGACATAGATATGTACCTGTACATGGGGAAAGAATGAACATTTGACAAATTTCTTTAATACCAGTTAGATATTAGTACAACCTGACAATAAGCCCATACCATCAAAGATTAATAAGTGAGAGTAACCAGTTCAATCTTCATTTTATAAAGAATTATTTTATTTAACTTTAGTTATTTATTTTAATTTGATCATGGAGGGACAGAGTGAAAGACAGGCAGAGACAGAGAGAGAGAGAGAGAGAGAGAGAGAAGAAAGTGAGAAAGGAAGATGCCAGGTCCGGGACTCACACTGTGGTCAGCCATGTGGGAGTCCAGTGCTCTTAATCCCCACACTAACTGCCAGCCCCAAGTTCAATCTTTTGTAATAACTTAAAGAAAAAGAGAACAAATCCATGAACCCAAAGACTTCCCTATATTGTTTAATTTTATATAATGAAGCAGTGAGAAGTCATTACATTAGTAATTCCACATATGCTCCACTGAAAAATGACTGAGACTGAAGAAGGTAAATATCTTGTTGTTTAGAAAAGACACTATTGAAGCTGGATGCACAGTAATGGCCACATAGTACTACCAGTATCCCACAACCAAATGGAAGAATAAGTCTGTGTACAAAATTCTCATTTTTGGATTGTTTCTACAGAAAAAGTTAAAACTCGAAGAGTTTGCAACAAATATATGTTAAAGTATTGTGAGTATTTGCAAAGCATATTAATAGTATGTGTAGACCTCTTAATGTTTCTGTGTTTGATCTTAATGAAGATTAGTTAAAAATTTAAGTATGTAACCCATGGATTGTAATAAATTTCAATATACACTCACATAAATTTATTTTATTGTTGTCCATCTGTTTCCTTCTCTTGGCATGAAATATTCATATTTCTAAGTGAATCTTTTGAAAACAGTTTCGGTTTACAAAGTAAGCAGTGCAGGATTAAGTTGGTTGAGTTCCATCTTTCAGGCACAGTAGCATCATTTCTTAGATATACTACTCCTTTTTCTTCTTGTTGGGTGTTTTAGCAAATTTCCGCCAACAAAACAGAAACAGTTTGGAGATGATGACTATCACAGATGCCACACAGGCCAGCAGGAACCCGATCACATCCAGAGAGTGGTACTGGAACCAGGTGAGGTCGTGGGCAGCCGGCCGCAGGTGCTTGGCCCCTTTGTGGCGCATGACAAACTCGATCCAGAAGACTGCCCGATCCAGGGGCTTTACTGGCTGGTCATGTTGAATTCTTGACAGCTTCATTGCATTCTCTTTGTATCTGAAGCAGAAACAAATGATACCCTTCTGAAGTAAATTAATTTGTCTAAGGATATGCAGTCTAAGAATGGCTTTGGAAAAGAGTCATATGAATGATTTAGTATAAAGACTTTAGACTTCCAAAATATGGATCTATTATTATTTTTGCTTGTGTCATCATAGAATGTTAGGTTTGTTAGGTTGGAATGTCCAGAATGACAAATGTTTTCAACAGTAAAAATGGAAGGCTAGGAGTGATCATTAAATATCTTAGACAGAGGAAATGGTAGCCACTCAAAAAATTTTAAGTCAAATAATGGAAGTGCAATTTGAGGGTGATCATCTTCAAGCTTTCAAAGAGGAACTGTGAGGGACCAGCAGTTAGCGTAATGGCTATGTCGCTGAACTCCCATGTAGTCAACTGTGATTCCAGTCACAGAACTGGTGGCTTAAACTCATGTGTGTGTGTGTACCCAAGATCCCAAGAGGAGAATGGAGGAGAAGGGATTGTGGTGTGGCCATCCCCCTTGGGGGGTGATTTCTCACTTTCTCTCTCTCTGTCTCTCTCTGTCTTTCTGGTGAGCACACGTGCCCTATAGCAAAAACCTCTCAAAAAAAAAAAAAAAAAGGAACTGTGATATGGTGGGTGAAAAACCTATTCAGTTCCTCTACTCTCATTCTTTTCTACTATTCTCTACTGTCTTCTTCCAACAATAGTGACAATGACACTTTAGTGAACACACTTGAGATTATGATAAAATAAACGAACCAGAATGTCCCTGTCTTCTCATCGCGTTTAGAATAAAATCCAAATTTCTTTGGACTGTAAGGCCTGACATGATTAGACCCTGGCAACCTGTTCTAACACTTGGCCCTGCCTATTCTGCCATGACTCATTGGTTATCTACAGTTCTGTGGAACCATCAAAGGTATTCTCACCTTGCACTCTTACCGTTTCTGTCCTCCTTCCCCTTTCTGGTACATTCATTCTTCCATACAACACTCCAAGGCTTGATTATATTTCATATCTGAGGGCTTGGCTTAAATATACCAGACAGGTTTTTCTGGCCACCTAACTATAGCCTCCTTAGATATTTCTTCTATTTTTTTCTACTTATTTTTCTACTTGATTTCTAGAATATTAATGCATTGCATTTCTATAATAAAACCTTAATTTATGGTGGCAGCAGGTGTGATGGTTGCTAGGACAGTACACTCCCACATGTTGACAGAAGTTTGAGTCTCGGACCTGGTGTCTTCCTTTCTCACTTTTCTTCTCTCTCTTTCTCTCTCTGGTGAGCATAAATGCTGTATAGCGTGCTTTAAAAAATAGTACAATTAATAAATGTATAAAATAAACATTATTTAAATATGAAATACATAAGAAAATCAAATGGGCTTAGTTATGTAAATTCATTTAAAATTACTCTTTTTATAAAAGGATGAATATTATCCTTACTGTTAACCAGAGACGTGATCTGGTAATAGTATTAAATAAAAAAAAAATGTTATACTCACGAAGGGTCATTAATGACTGTCTTCAATGCATTGAGCAAATCTGTACTTGACATGGTATGAAAGTCCACTCTAACGGCTGCTCCCTTGGCTTTCAGGTGAACAATGTTTTGAGGTTGATCCGCAAACAAAGGAATTCCCACCATGGGTATCCCATGGTAGATGGCCTCATAGATGCCGTTGGCTCCACCATGAGTTATAAAAGCTTTGGTTTTGGGGTGACCTAGAATTGGGTAAGGTTTAGCAAAATTATTATGAGTCTTAGAAATGAGATGAGAAATACCCAATATAAAGCACTAAAAGTGGCAATGTTCAAACTTCATTAAAATGACTTTGATATTTCAGAAGAAGAAGAAGGTTTGTGCCGCAGAAGTAAGTGAACGCTATGTGAAAGAGGAGGTGTGTGACTTTAAACTAGAACAATGACTACAAGATTGCTGTCTCTGGCATCTAGAACTATCCTCTCTCTTTTTTCTTTAAATCTTTTAAAATTATTTATTCATCTAATTTCTTCTTAGTATTTCAAGTTTGCTCTAGGAGTGTGTGCTCAGCAGAGAGAGACAGAGAGAATGAATACAGGAAAGCAAGAAAGCAAGTCACCTGATCCAGACTTAAATTGTGTTAGATCATAAACTCATAAAGTAATGAAGTCACTGAGCCTGATTTGTAAAGTGTCCAGGACAGCAGAGGTGACGTGGTGGTGGTATTGGTATTAGGAAAAGGAAAAGCTACACTTTATCATGAAATGTGTTATTGCTTCATGATAAAGATTGTGTAGTTTTTTTTCCCGTAGAAAATGCAGCATCATTGGCAATAAAGAGCAGCTGTTATTTTTCAGTAGCATTTGATATATTCTTCCTGGACGTAAAAGGAGAGATAGAAATCTGTAGATAAAGGAGACAAATATAAGTAAGAAAATTATTTTAAACTGCCTTTTTGAGATAATCACAGTTGTACTAAAGATGCTTTGATCTTACCACAAAGAATGTAGCTGTGTACAAAAAATTAGCAAGTTTTATAGTTTATTCGTTTCACCCCTAGGACTGGAAAATAGATCTCAAATTTATTTAGTTAAGTTTAAAAATAAATGTTCACAAATTTTGATTCCTGTTGAACTATCATCTCATTGGCTGTTACTCATATTTTTAGTATTTCTTCTCCAGAGTCTTACCAAGAAGGTCATTCTGGGGAATCCACTTGTACAGCTGAGTATTGGGTCCTAAAGTTGCTGGTTTCTTGCCATTAAATCTCCATATGACCTGTTAGGAAAAGAAAAGACCATATTTCATGAGTCAATATGGAAAGTTTAAAGTGTGTTTGAGTTCTAAAGAACATACACCTTGCAGATATGAAAATTGCAATACAGTATTTTATGCAGTGAAAACAATGAAAGACTGAGATAGATTTTGCATTTGCTTTCCTCATCCAGTTTTAATATTTCAATTTTTGAGTGACATGAGGCATTTATAAATATTGACTTGTTCCTTAAGTTATTTCTATGTTTTTGTTTTGTTTTGTTTCTGACAGAAAGTGCCTGCACTTGGCAAGGATAGAAGGAGATGAGAGAGAGAAAGGGAGAGAAAGCACTCCCTAGTGGGTCATGGTCTTGCTGTAAGCTCCTCCTTCATTTCTCCATTGTGCCTTATGTCAGGTTTTGGGAATGAACCCACAAGTTTCCAAGCTGGCATTTGAACCACAGTTGACCCTTTTGGATTTGGGTTCCTTAACAGGTAGACTATAATGTTGGTCTTAAATTATTTTTAAAATTCCCAGTACTTTTGATATACAGAAAAGGAAAGCTATGCCATCAGCTACTTGTGGAAAATAAGTCAGTTCCAACTAGTGTTATGTGTAAATTGTTTTAAGGAACAGATTGTTGAGCACTACCTCCAAGAA